TTAAGTCAAGGTTTTATGCAACCTGGCCCTGGTTCCTTTATATTATATTAGTTAAATCACAGGACGTAATCGTAAACGTGATCAAAACGATTTTAAGAAAGTTTGTTTTGACGAGCATCAAAACTCTTCAAAGGAATGATTTGACTAATTATCAATTCAGTTGGGTGCCGTTTTCTCCGTTCTTGTTTCCAAACCCCAAACTAGTTGTTTTATTTCGAGAAAAAAAAACAATCGCTGCTCCCGTTTCTGCGCTTTACAGTTTGAAACCGTTTCGTCCAAGAACAAGAACGTCCTTTCATATTAAAGTGCATTAGGGGCAGCACGGTTTCTACCACGGGTTACGCAAAATCTTTACAGTCATTTTCAAAGCACAAAACCGATAATTTCACAAGGCACTATTTCCCTATCCTCTCCTTGCGCCTTTACCAGTCGAACCTTTCCCACGACTCTGACCGATGTACGGAGTGACATTAGAGAAGTTAAGCATCACGTTTACGTACGTCAAACGGCAAGCGCGAATTTGTACCGCGTGACCAAGTTTTCCCTATCTTTACTTGTCGTTTACCGCTTCATTATCTCTACACATAAATTAGCAGTTTCACGCATTTTTATGATCCGTAAGAATTGTTTTGAGCTGTTTTTATCTGCTCATTTTATATTTTTAGAAATTCTCGACTTGAATCTCCCGTTTGCCGTTTGCTTTATACGTGAAGCTTAAACTCCCCATTAAGTTTAAACACTCTGGAGTGAGTCTTTGCATGTGCTGTGGACAGGGCTATGATTCAATACTGATTATGAGAGCTGCCAATATTGTTCCAGGGGTGGTTGGTTTTCAAATGACAAACAGGGCAGCAAGGTAGATGATTCGTAGAAACTGAAATTACTTTGTCAAGACATAAACAAGAAACAACCCAGCCGAGCAGGGCAGCATTGCAAGACAGCTGTTCCGTCCTCCCTAAGTACTTCTGAGTTGCAGATGCGGCTGAAACAATAAAAGCTAACTCTAGAATCTCTCTAGGTTTTTATTCATGAGTTACACTACTACATGAAAAATTTCTGCAATTTGATTGGCTTAGAGGAGTGGTATTTGAGGTTAATTTAAAATACCTACATGTAGAAGTTACAAACCTTTTGCGGGTAGTAGTATAAACAAATAATTGCATGATTTGGACGTGATATTTGACATAAATACCACTCGTGATATTTCAGAATTGTCTCAAATTTCACTCGCCTAAAGGCTCGTGAAATTACGTATAACAATTTCGAAATATCACTCGTGGTATTTATGCCTAATATCACAAAAAATCATGCTATTACCTATACAAATCCAAGTAAATTCTTGCCTGAGAGTCTTAGAATTGACAGAACATTTTTAGCTTTCTTAAACTTGATATTCAAATCATTTATTACCTTAGTATTTAACTAAGCTTTTTAGGATTTTGGTAGTTTCATGGGACCATAAGGGAGACAACAGTGCGACTGTAATTACCAACCCTATTGAAATTAAGTGTCATTCATTCATTCATTCATTCATTCACCTGCTATTAAGGGTTTTTTTTTCAGGGAAAATAAAGCGCGAAAGTCGTCAGACGGGGAAAGAACAAAAAAAGAAGAACAAGGAGGAGGAGCAGGAGGATGAGGAGGAGCAGCGCCTGATCTCAGGTTCAAGAATCTCAGGCGTTTAAACTGATCCAGCATTGTTGATGAAGCTAGGCCAACATGATGGATTCATTTAAACCGGGATTTAGGTCTCGTCGTTTATGATCTACACTTTTCATCTCAGAGAATTGAATGCTGTGTGTACTCCATTTCTTTAATTAGTAACTTGCATAAAACCATCTCATTCCTAAGCTTTAATCTAAAAATGAAGTAAAATCTTTCTTACGAATGAAACACTGAACTTATTTTTTTCCTGTTTGATTTCATTAGTGCACTAACGTGAATTTTGTTTCTATGAATAAACTGCCGTTTCCTAATAAATCTGATAATAAAAAGTGAAACAGGGATATTTTGTACCAAGTAAAGTTTTGCAGGACAATATCAATAGGAATCCATGAAATTTTTCACCTGAGATATCTTTAGCCAAACAAAAGAGTGAGTAATTTTGAGACTTCACGCCGTGAAGTTACAAACCCAGTGTTACAATATCTAACTTTTAGTTACTGAATTCTCTTGACTATTTAGTTAAAAAGTCTTTTTGATTTTCAACTTGTGTTTAAAAAAGATCTACACAGATTTTTAAAAGGAAGGTTTTGTCGTTTATGTCGTCGGATTGCATATTCACCGTGTATTCATATGTTTTGACAAAACGTATATTACACTTTCACCACGGCCAAAGGCCAGAGTACTTTTTCAGTCAAATATACGAACACGATTAAATAAGTATGACCATTTTGTCGTTGGTCAAGAGGGGTCCCGGCAGTGGGTTGATGTGATGAAATAATTATATTTAAATTTTATTTTCAGAAATGATTTTGCATCATCGCGTCATGTCCTTTTTATTTTTTTTATTTTCCATGGTTTTTCCTTGAGTAACACATTTTAATTTCGGCAAGATGTCATCCGAGACATATTTTCCTGGAAGATTATTGTCCTATTGCATTGCGACCTTTTGATCACATGACTGTCCAAAGACTATTTATTCCTATTGGTGATACTCTATCATCCAGCGTACTGGAAAGAATCCCTGGACGGTAATTCTTCATTACAAACACAGGTAGGCTAACCAATCGACTTGCTTGCATTGACCGCTTGCTGTTAGTCTAAATTGCACTGACACTTGGCAGTTGACTTTCGGTGTAGTGTAGTAGTCATTTATGTCTCCATAGATTAAACAAGTTTACAGAAACAAATAATTAAGAAATAACTTAAGAGTTGATTTTCTCATTTCTTTGACTGATATTAGGCCCCTCTTAAACAAACAATCGAGTATAGGTTACTTAGGAGTTTTTTCCTGCTTTATCAATTTATTATACTTTTCTCTCGTGAAGATCAAAGAACTCAGAAAAATTAAGGTGCACTTAGTTGCAGTCATTTTCTGCTTATTTATTTCCTGTTCCGCAAAAACAAGATCTGTAAACATATTTAGGTAGCCTTGTTTTCTCAGTCCCTCATCTTTTTAAAACCGATCCTTCATTTTCGCCTCCACTATTCCCCAAGTCGCGAAAAGTAGTCTTGTTGATTTAGGTGCGATGCAAAATTTGCTGTCGAAGAATGGCTCCCTCTACCGGAATTGTCATTATTACAAAATTTACCTGTTTCTCACGTCATAAAAGCAATAGAAAATGAAGCAACGAAGCAAGCAACGCCCCACAAGTCGAAAACGAAGACCCTCAGTCGCAGTAGGACAACGAAGCAGTGATGTCAGCTCGAAAACGAACCACTCTGACTTGAAAACGAAAAACTACAACTCGAAAACGAAGCATATGTCAAAAGCGAAGCACTCTTGACTCATCATCAGCCCCAGTTAAATCCTTAATGCAAATTAACATTTTAAGTCAATTTTAAGCCCCCAGCACCCCCCACACCCCTCCCTCATGTATTTATCGCCATTCGTTGAGTTGTTTGTTTCTATGGTAGGACTTTTACCGTCAAACGATCTTCTAAGAGTTACCTTTTTTATCAGTTTCTTCGAAATTTTAATTTTTTAATTGATGGTAGAAGTGTTAGGAATATAATAAAATATATCATATTCATCTTTTTTTGGAAGTTCCTTCTTTTCGCCCCCTCCCCCCCCCCCTCACCCCCCGCTTAAGTTGTTAGATTTTTATTTACCTCAGAGTGGAGTGGGGTATTTGCACACTGGAAGGAGGTAGACCCTGAGCACTTAACATGTGTCAAGGCATCTGGATTTCCCTCTGCTAATTGGTCAGAAATTATTTCCTGATCTGAATCTGAAAATGACTTTGGCTTAAGCTTGACTGTTAACTGACGCAAATTGCGTTACATTTTAGTGGCACTAGATGTCGCTGACATAAATATGATGGATAAAACTCCAGTTTGGATAATATCAATCTACAAAGCACCACTAGATGCTTGGTAAATTTAATAACTATCCAATGTAAGCTCTCGATGGCGGTAAAGTAAACCACAGCTTAAAGACGGCTGCTATATGATGATAATATTAATTGAGAATTTTATACCGTATTTCTATTAGAATCCAAGCGCTTACTCATGCAGCATGGCGCAGAGTGGAACCAAAGCAGGATCTGAGAGCGATGGGCAAGAACTGGATTGCGATGAGATCACTCTAAAAGGTGAGGATATTTATAACAAGGTTAACAGTGTATTAGCAAGCATTCAGTTGGGGAAATTTTTTAACATCTTTTGGTAATTTTTACAGCAATCGTCAGCCACAACACAAAATTTGATTTCAAGATTATTCCTAAGAAATATTGTAAGAATCTAGTTGACAGGTTAGGTTAAATTATTTTAAATAGTTTCCGGGCCTCTCCAGCTTCAGATCAAAGAAGACCTTCACAACGAATGAGAACGACACGGATCCAATACAATTATATTTTCTAAGTAGGTTTAGTATGATCGTCCGGCTGAACGTAGTCCTGAATAGGACTATTGTTGTCGATAGTGCCTGACGTTTCGACAACCTGTGCGGTAGTCATCTTCAGAGTCAAAGTGAGTTGATGGTATTAAACTTTGGTTATGGACCTGATTGGTCAATTAAGTCACGATGTTATTGGTCGTCTGTCAGTTAAGCCGTGATGTTATTAGCTGTGAAGGCTCATAAGGTCAATTATATTTTGTCAGTATCTAAAGGCTTAATTAATATTTACCTGTGAAAATTTGAAGAGAGACTAGTTAAAACAATTGTATTTTAAAATTTCAAAATATGTTTAAATCTTGTTTTGGAAGATCATAGCAGTTCCAAGGGTTAAAAAGAAAAGGAAATGATAAATCATCAATAAATTTTGAAATGGAAGGCGCATGAGCCAATGTTTCGCAAATTACATTTTACAAGCTAAAAGTACACTTGACATGTTGCAGCAATTGCAGAAGTTTACAAGAATGACGGTAACGAGGAGTATAAGAAGAAGAATTTTTACGGCGCCATTTACTTCTACACTGAAGGAATTGGAATGAACTGTAAAGATAAAGAACTGAACGCAAAGCTGTACAGCAACAGGGCGGCGGCACATTTAAATTTGGGTGAGAAGTTCTTATTGTTTGTTATCGATGACTTATGCCCCAATTCACACCAGCTAAGTATGTTTAATTAAACCAGGTTTTCAAAAATGACGAACAGATAAGGAAAACTGGAAGACATGCAGTTTTTCACACAGGATTCAAATGAAATTCATCATGTTTTGTGTTAAGTTTGCACTAAATTTACAACCAACTTAAGTCAGTAAGGAGCTTTCATGAAGGAAACAGTTTTAAACCGTGTTTTAATAACTGAACAGCTTTTAAACATGTTTAAGCTTTGGTGTGAATGGATCCTCAGTTATGTGTGAATGGGGCCTCAGTTATTAGTTGTCAGATTGTAGTGATGAAGGTTGCCCGGGGAGGTTACTTGGATTAATTTTTGCTGGGTTCGCGCCGAGGGCCTCTCAGAACCCCTATCCCATTATGGTCTATTCTGTGGCCAAATAAAGATCCCTTCTCGGTCACTTTTGGGGAAATGTAATTTTCGTGATCCCAACTTAGTAACTTTCTGTTTACGCATCTACTTTATAAAGCCTTTCAACTAAGTCACGATCACCCTGAAATGAACTGACACATTGGTTAAACTTTATGCAAAAATCTTCCCATTTTTAAATCCCTACCTACCTGATCCCCCAAATCCCGAAAATTTGCGATCCCATTCTAGTAACTCTAATAAAAATGCAATCCCATTATTGTCAATCCAGCCGTGAAAATGCGACCCCATCCAGCGGCACATTCCCATTAGCCTAGTACTAGGAAGTACCCCCCGGGGAAAGGTTGGTAGGGTGGGGAGGGTAAGGTAACATCTATTGCCTTGCGTTTTGAAACGTTTTCCATATAAAGATTATTTTCAACGACCACATCATAACGCTTTAAACACTAAAAACTATGGGAAAACAGCAAAACTGCCAAAGATCAAACTGGATTTTGCCGCGCGCAGTAGTTTATAATTTTTAGGTGCCTTGATTTCGATTGGCTTTAACTTTAAGAAACATTAATACTAGAGCCAGGAACGCCTGTAATTTCTATTGTAGCTTTAAACGGTTTTCAATTTAGTGTGTGTTTGCTCTAATATGTATTTTTTCTTATATATTTTAATCTGAATTCTTAGTTACAGCAACCGGCCCTTTATAGAGCACACCGGAGGGACCTTGAATCGGTGTCCTCATTAGCGAAAGTCCGTTTTAAATAGCGGGAGTTTATTTCAGTCAAACAACTATAATGTATTTTTTTGCCTGGGATTTAGCTGCTGTCCTTATTTTCGGGGTGTCCGTTAGAACGGGGTGTCTGCAAGGCGAGAGTTGACTGTATTAGATTTTTAATTGTTAGTCAGCAGGACCCCGTTGGTAACAGACCGTTGTGCTGAAGGGTTATCCTAGATAAATTTAGGTTTCTGGGAAACTGCCCACCTACCCCTCCCCTAAGCCAACACTTTGCCTTAAGTGAGGAGTAAGTGTCAATGTTAGCTTAGGGAAGGGGTAGGTGGGCAGTTTCCCATAAACCTAAATTGGTCCTAAATTAGTTTATTACTATATCACAAGTAGGTTGAATAACTTATTATTATTATTATTATTATTATTATTATTATTATTATTATTATTATTATTATTATTATTATTATTATTATTATTATTATTTTCAAACTCTCTTTACTGGTAGTGGCTATGTAACTACGGTCAGGTTAAAGTGGCGCCAAGTATTCGTCCAGTGCAGGGCCTGCCATAACGCTAAGTGCTACGCCGAATTCTTCTGGGCTGTTGTACATTCAGGGGAGGATCCAAGTCTTTGTAAGAAGGGTTGGCTGATACCAATCGACCACGAAACAAAGCGTTAAGTTTAGTTTGTCCTACATGGCACCCCTAAAGCGTTATAATTGAGGAAAGATGAATAGGAACCTGTAACCCCGTAAATTCTCACAAGTTGACAAAATAGAAGAAATAATTACATCACCATCCTAATCATGTCTCTCAGTTGTAGTACAAGATATCACTAATGAAACGGAAATAAAGTGCAAAATAAACTCTTCTAACAAACATGTAAGTCGGTCAAAAAAGGTGCTAGCCTCCCAACCCACCAGGGTGGCAGAGGGGATTTCCGTGACACGTGATGGGACCCTGAGTATCAGCGTGATGTGTGATCGAGCCCATATAAGCCACGTGAAGCGTGACTGGACATAGCAGTGTGATGTGTGATTTACTATTACTAAGTTTCCTTTGAAATTTCCTTGATGGTTAATTTCGTTTGAAACTAGAAGCAGAGACATTAAAAATAGATAGTTATCACACCAACTTCTCGTCCTTTTTTTTTTTTCGTTCCTCGACCTCTGATTTCCTCAGATCAAATGATAATAGGATACTTGTAAATGTAGTTAATAGCAGGAGCCCATAACCCGGAGCGTGCAAGTTCAATGCGCTCGTGTCACGGCGTTTTCACGGACCAGTCCATTTTCAGAACGGTTTTGGCGCAAATTTTGAATATTTTTCAAATTCCACAAACCAGTCCATGAAATGAAAAAAAAAAGGTCTATAAAAACGCCGTGACATAGGCCTAGTATGGAAGTTGCTCGCTCCGTTTTATGGGCTCCTGTTAATAGTTTTAACTATTAAAATCTTTTATTTTTCCGTGGTGCGTGATAGCTTTGAAAAAATCGGCATGCTGTGTGATAGGTATCCCCCTTTGCCACCCTGGTCTACCTTCTCTGGCATTTTGTTTTTCATTTAAATTCTTTTCACAGGAAATTACACTGAAGCAATAGATGATTCAAAAAGTGCCACAGACTTAGATCAATCTCTTTCAAAAGCTTTTGGACGAGGTAATAATCTCTAATTATGTGTACAGACAATTGGACATGTAGCGAAACCTTGAAAACTTGAGGATGTTCATATTTTTGCCGTGTTGTAAGCACCACAATACTACAAAATTACAGTGTTTATATAGGATGAAGTTCCAACCCAGAAATTTGAAGGAAATAATGAGTAAAAACCCCTGAAACTTGCTCTGCTGTTAGTTGTTGGTATAGTCTTTATAAAGTTCACACGCAGTTCCGGGAAATCTGTTCAAATTCTTGCTCCATACAACACACATGGCCCAGACTCTGTGGGAGTTCGTTAGACTTTGCTAACAACAAGAACTTAATTATTGTTAGTACAACTCAAAATCTTAAATGTCGATCGATAAAACGGCTTCCAAATGGCTCTAGAAGCCAAGAGACAGTAAATAGCAAAACAAAAACACAAGGTGAGTCATTTTATTTCTGTGTTTGTCAAAAAATGGAATTTAGGACATATTTTGTTTATTTCTGTACATTCTCTTATAAATTCGAAGTCTAACGAACTCCCACAGAGTCCGGGCCGCCTGTACATGCAAGAGTATTTTCTCGTATTCAATTGAGCAGATTTCCCAAAACTTAATGTAGACATTTCAGATGACAACAACTATAAAACTGCAGAGCAAGATTCAGGGACTTATAGCCGTTATTTCCAATAAATTTGAGGGTCGGAACTTTATCCCATGCAAACACTGTAAATTTGTCTTATCATGGTATCGATGTGGTAACGTGGAGCCTGGGTTATATTACCTGTGTGTTAAATAGTAACCTGCGATCCCGAGAAGGCCTGATCGCAGACTCTAAATCGTACCGTCGCTTCTTGAACTGAAAATTTTTTTCAGTCTTGTTATTTGTATAATTGAAAGATTATTAAGGTCAACAGAGGATTACATGGAGATACCCTGTCTTCAAATCCATTACACCACCGCAGGAGCCCATATCCCGGAGGGAACAACTCCCATACTATGCCTTATGTCACGGCGTTTTTATGGACCAGTTTATTTTTAGACACATTTTAGAGCACTTTTTCACGCGAAAATAGAATTTCCATCATGTCTATGAGCGCATTCTAAATATAAGATATCAAAAGGAAAACTAAAGGCAAAAACACCATTTTAGGTTTGTAAGTTTTGCTGACTGGTTTGTGGAAATTAAAAGATATTCAAAATTCGCGCCAAAACCGTTCTAAAAATAAACCGGTCCGTGAAAACGCTGTGACACGAGCGCATGGACGTTGCTCGCTCCGCGGGTTATGGGCTCTTTACCAGCCATTATTCGGACATTACATAATTCAAATCTCTGTTCCATTGTCGATTACTGTGCTCATTCAATATAACTATTGCAAATCCATACGTAAATGTATTGTGTTAGATAAATTTAACTTCATCATGGTTTTACAGGAGCAGAAGTCTGCATTCAGTTGAAAGCATTTGCCGAGGCCATCAGCTGGTGTGATAAGGGATTAGCCGTATCTTTTAGCTTCTTTTGTTTACTGCAGCTGATAGAAAAATTTTCCTAGGATCATTCTTCGTTACAGCTTAATATATCCCCTATCAACGTTATTATTGATGATACTAATAATCAGTGACCTCGAATCTTTCTCCTTGATTTGCTTTGATGAAAAGTTCTTCGATAATCATTCACAATCATTTCAACTGCAAACTGTCGCTATTGCCTCGAATCTCTAAAAGGGAGGATTAGTCACATGACTAAAGGGGCGCTTGGAATGGTCACCTGAGCTAAAGAAAAATGTAAATAACTTCAAACGTGCGCGATTGGTTTCTTGTGATTTTGGCGGTATTAGCGCAAAAGCCGTATCCTATTTAGGCTTGTGTGCGCGTCCCTGTATTCTTGCAGCGTTCTGTTAGGATTAAGTTTAGGTGGCCTGGGGACCACACTTAAGATACGTAGCACATCTTGCTCCATGTAAGGTAATCCCAGGATTTCATTCAGTGTCTTCTGGATTCCAGGAGCAAGATTCTGGATTCCTTGTCAGGAGAACTTGGATTCCGGATTCGAATCGTTAACGGATTTCCGGATTCCTTGAGCTAAATTCCAAAGCCCAGGATTCTAGATTTCATAAGAAAAAATTTCTCAGGTTCAGGAACCCGGGTGACCTTACAAGAGGCGACACATCTAGGATCTCACCGGGGAAAGCTGACACTAAGGCAATCTCTTTGCTTTGTAGTAATTTGTTTCACATTTGCTAGCTTTATTTCCATTTTAATAAAAGTTATTTAACAGTTTAACTTTTAAAAGATCGACCCGAATGATCAGAAGTTGTTGGAATTGCGGAGCAGATCAGAGAGAGAACAAAGGAAACTGCAAGGTGGAGAAAAGGTTGGGATGAAGTACCTGCTATCAGCGCTACTGAATAAGCATCGTTGGATGAATTATGCCGAACAAGGATGGAGTTTGTATGAAAGCTGAGTGACATAATTACCTTATTTTCAAGCACAAACACACGACATCTTTAACTCTGCGTAAAATTTCTTCAAAACCTTTTGTCAGTTTGTTGGCAGTTCATGAAAAGGAACGGGTTTTTTAATTCAGATAATACTTTAAAAAGGAGTCGACATCCTTTTTTGTATTCTTGCTACTTTTTTGAGTCGGAAATTCGGGCGGCTATTTCTTCTTGATAAGCGTTTGAAAAATTCAAGCCATTTTCTTCAACTATGATGCGAAAGTTTTTTTACGTCGATGTATGAGAGCTAAACCGGTAAAGCGAGCCCTCACCTCATTCATGTATACTTGTGCATTTAATTCATTCGCCACTCCAGATACTGTGAGTTGGGTACAAGCTTTCGACGCAACGATCATTTGGTTGCCTCGAGTACCACCGACTAATCATAGCTAAAGCTTGTCCACTCAAACGATCCTACAAATCGTTGCGCCGAAACCTTGTACCCTTACCTCACATCACCGATACTCTTCGTGCCTCGTGGCACATAAGGCCTTCACAGAGTCTCTCCACTTATCTCAATTAACCGCAACGGTCTTCACACTTCCTGCCACGATCGCCATCCCGCTTCTGCCCTCTCCTTTTCAACCGTTTGCCTCCAGGTGGTTTTTGGTCTTGCTCTTCTTCTTCTTCCTTCTGGTGCCCAAGTCATTGCTATGTTTCAGTCGCTGTTTTGGTCCTGTTTTAGTATATGTCCAATCATTTTCCATCTACGCTGCTTCACTTCTTTTGTCATAGGTATCATATCTGCTCTTTCTAAGAGAAGCAGCTCTTCAGTACTGGCATGGTCCTGCCACTGGATCTGTAGGATTCTTCGTAGACTCTTGTTATCAAATACATCCACTGCTCTGTCATCCCCCTTGTACACTTTCCATGTTTCACACCCGTACAGCAGAACTGGCACTACCAGTGTTCTATACAGCCTCAGTTTTGTTCTTCTTAGGGTGGTGTTTGAGCGCCATATCCTCTTTAATCTGACCAATGCACTCCTCGCTTTTGAGAGTCTGTTTTTCGGGTCTTTCATACCGGCACCTTCCTCTTTACAAACTGTAGCTCCCAAGTAAGTGAACTCATCCACAGCTTCTGCTACTCCTTCTCCGTCTATCATAATCAGTTCCTGGTTCTTTGCATTAATTCTCATCAGTCATCTTTGTCTTCTTCATGTTGAGTTTTAATCCCACTCGTCTGGCTTCGTCATCCATTCTTGCTGTTGCTTTTCCTGAATCTGCTGGTAATAATATATATTATCTGGGGATAATAGTTATTATTTACAGTAAATAGATTTCCATATGTAAATAATAACTATTATCCCCAAGTGGCGTACTGCTCGTGAGCATGTGACAGGAAAGGTTAGAGATCTTGAATATATTATCGTACGAGAGGGTTTTCATTGCAGTTGAAAATTGGATGGCGAGGTGTTCTCGAACTAGCGGGTTTTTTTCGCCTCAGAACGAGAACCTTTGAACCTAAAAACTGCCAAGCGGTTTCTGCAGATGCTGTGTTTTGTTTTTTTAATATTTTTGTCGAAAATGAACGGACAAATGCAGAGTAAGTTGGATAAATAGAATCTATTTAATTTCACTGCGCATGTAGCCGAAAGTTGGTTGTATTAAAGCGCTGTGTTCGCCGTAGTTGTCCGATTACTCATTTTCCTCCCACAATGCTTTGGGTAAGAACGACGTTCCAGTTATGAGGTAGTTTGTCAGCTCTCTTCCACTATTTGTGCGTTTACGTTCACAAAGGTGTTAGCCAATCATTTTAGCATTAAATTTGGCCAACATTTTGCGGAGCGATTTCTACGGTCACGATTGCCTTCAAACTTGCAGACATAAAACTAGAGAGCTCCGAGGCTTATTTGCTGAAGTTAGGGAAAAATCTGTCGTGGGATTTCGAAGTTATGGTCATTTTTCGTAAAAATGAGGTTTTAAATATATGCCGATATCTCAAAAGTTTTTATACCTATAAGAAAATAGATAACATTTTCTTAAAGTTCCATCATTATTGATTAAGGATGCAAAAAATCGTAGAAATCGGTTAAATCTTTTATTCTGAAAAACGCGAATCAGAAACATAACCAACACACATATAAATAGGAACGGGCCACCTTAACAGCGTTTATCTAAATCACGCTTCACTAACGACATATGTTTAGTTACTCAAATGGCGTGATGTTGATTTCAACCAATCGGAAAAAGGTATTAAGTCGAAGATTGACATTTAATTAATCATGATCAAGCACTATTTTCACACTCAGAATCTGAGCGTGAAAAGTGGAGAAAACAATGGCGTCCTTGCAGGCGTTCCTTTCCTTTCTCCCTCGCGCGTCCAATTTTAACGCCTGCCATGCAGGCTAAGCCCCAATGGGCTCTGAGTAAATAGCCCATTCGGCCTTCGGCCTCACGGGCTATTTACTCAGAGGCCACGAGGGCGAGAGGAATAATTGTTTTAGTAAAATCCAACTAGTTGGTCAAAAATATCGAAACAAAAAAACTTTAGCTTGTTAAAGCTAGACTTTGATCCTTTTTTGCCGCCAAAAAGCTGGCGCTTTTCGCTACTAGTGGGCTATAACATACCGTAAAATTCCGAAAATAAGCCCCTCCATGTATAAGCCCCTCCAAATATAAGCCCCCAAACCGGTAACGCAAAACACCCTCCATTAAATCGCCCCTCCGAATATAAGCCCCCCCCCCCCCCCCCCCCGGGGGCCCTCCCCGTAAAAATCCACCCAAAAAAAAAAAAAAAAAAAAAAAAAAAAGCACAGATATCTTTAAAACAAACCTGCTGACCCGGCAGTTTTATAACAAAAACTCATGAACGCCAAAAAACCACCCCAAAAAACACCCCCGAAACAGAACGTGTAAAAAAGAAACAACCCCGCCGGGACATTCTGAAGTTTAAACCCCCCCCCCCCCCCCCGGGGGCTTACACTTGGAAAATTGCCCTCAAATACAAAGTAAAACAAAGCAAAAACGGAAAATTTACTTCCAACTACAAGGCTAGCCCAGTCGATTTTGAAACGCAAATTTTCCTCCGTAGATAAGCCCCTCCAAAAATAAGCCCCTCAAAAAGGGTCTTTGAAAAATACAAGCCCCCGGGGCTTATTTTCGGAATTTTACGGTATAGCCAAGTAGTAGCTCAACCAACCAGAACGCAGCATTGATAATAGACCACCAGTTGGATTTTACTAAAGACATATATTTGTTTCCAGGTTTGCTTGTCTAGTTATCATCTTGGAATTGCAGCTGTCGAGCGTGGTGAGTTTAAAACAGCTCGGGATTACTTCGAATTAAACCTGAAGGAAGCCAAAGAGACTGGAAACAGAGACTCAGAAGGAGAGGCATATGGGAACCTTGGTAATGCTTATTACTCTCTCGGTGAGTTTAAGAAAGCACTCGAACTCCATCAGATGGGTCTTAGTATCTTCAAAGAGACTGGAAACAGAGACTCAGTAGGAAAGGCATATGTGAACCTTGGTAATGCTTATTACTCTCTCGGTGAGTTTAAGAAAGCACTTGAATTCTATCAGATGGGTCTTGGTATAGTCAAAGAGACTGGAGACAGAGACTCAGTAGGAAAGGCATATGTGAACCTTGGTAATGCTTATCGCTCTCTCGGTGAGTTTAAGAAAGCACTTGAATTCTATCAGATGGGTCTTGGTATAGCCAAAGAGACTGGAAACAGAGACTCGGTAGGAAACGCATATGTGAACCTTGGTAATGCTTATGACTCTCTCGGTGAGTTTAAGAAAGCACTTGAACTCTATCAGATGGGTCTTGGTATAGTCAAAGAGACTGGAAACAGAAACTCAGTAGGAATGGCAAATGTGAACCTTGGTAATGCTTATCTCTCTCTCGGTGAGTTTAAGAAAGCACTTGAATTCTATCAGATGGGTCTTGGTATAGTCAAAGAGACTGGAAACAGAGACTCAGTAGGAAAGGCATATGTGAACCTTGGTAATGCTTATCGCTCTCTCGGTGAGTTTAAGAAAGCACTTGAATTCTATCAGATGGGTCTTGGTATAGCCAAAGAGACTGGAAACAGAGACTCAGTAGGAAAGGCATATGGGAACCTTGGTGTGGCTTATTGGGCTCTCGGAGTTCGAGAAAAAGCAAGCGATTATTTTCGTGAAAGTCTCAGAGTAGCAAAAGAGACTGAAAACAAAGATTTAGAAGGAACGGCATATGGGCTACTTGGTGGTGAGTGTCATTTACTCGGCGATTCAAAAAACGCAATAGAATTCTATCAGCAGTGTCTTAGTATCGCAAAAGCGACTGGAAACAAAGATCTAGAAGGAAATACAGACGGGAAACTTGGTGTTACTTATGTGTGGCTCGGTGATTTTAAAAAAGGGATCGAATTCCAAAAGCAGTGTCTTAGTATCGCAAAAAAAACTGGAAATAAATCCTCTCAAATGTGTGCATTTGAGAACCTTGGTCATGCTTATTGGTTTTTCGGCGACCTATCTAGAGCTGAGGAGTTTCTCAAGTCCAGTATCAACAGGATGGAGGAAATGAGGGTTCTTCTTCAAGAGAAAGACGAATGGAAAATCAGCTTTCGGAACCAATTTAAAACTCATCATAATCTATGGTATCTTCAATTACAACAGGGTAAGATCATGGAGGCGCTATCAACAGCAGAGCAGGGACGTGCACAGGCTCTCGTTGATCTCATGAAATGTCAGTTCGGAGCACAATCCCCTCGATCATTGTCAGAAGGGCTTCCAGAAGGAATATATACCTTTTCAGGTGACACTTCTTCACCTACGATTTTCATCGCGGAAAGCGATGAATCAGTGAATCTCTGGTTACTACTAAAAGGAAAAAAGTGGTATTTTTCACAACAGAAACTCAGTCAGACCTTGGAAAATTTGACTTGAAAATTATATAAACAAATCGGTGTTAAGTATGGTGTCCAGTGCAAGAACCAGGCCTTGTCACAAGATGATTCTGATGCGTTGAAAACTTTTCATGACATGATCATCGCGCCTCTTTCAGACTGGATAACGGGGGATGAACTCATCATTGTCCCTGATGGTCCATCATTCTTGATTCCTTATGCTGCCCTTGTGGACCATCATTCCAGGTATTTGTCCGAAACGCTGAGAATCCGACTGGCTCCATCATTGACAAGTTTATGGCTGCTTACAGAGTGTCCGGAGGGTTACCATAGGCCATCTGGTGCACTGCTTGTTGGTAATCCGTGGGTGGAGACTGTACGCATCAAAGGCTGCAACCCGTTTCCACCGCTCCCAGCTGGCGAGAGAGAGGTACAAATGATTGGACAGATTATTAACACTGAGCCTCTCACTGGGAAGAACGCTACAAAAGATCAAGTTTTAAGCAGGCTTAACTCAGTTTCCTTAGTACACATTGCAGCTCATGGTCGTTCAGGAACCGGCGAAATAATTTTGTCTCCTAATATTGCCAGTTCCAAAAGACCCAAACAGGAAGACTTCCTCTTGACGATGGCAGATGTGTTGAATGCACCATTACGCGCCAAACTTGTCGTCTTAAGCTGCTGTTGTAGTGGGGTGGGGAAGATCCAAGCCGAAGGCGTGGTTGGAATTGCACGTGCCTTTTTAGGAGCCGGCGCACGGTCCGTTGTTGCAACGCTGTGGGCGATAGACGACGACGCTACTCTAGCGTTTATGAAAAAATTTTACGAACATCTGGTAGCAGGGCAAAGTGCAAGTAAGTCCCTCAGTCATGCCATGAAGTGGATGCGGGAGAGTGAAGATTTCAAGGCCGTGAAGCACTGGGCGTCCTTCGTGTTGATTGGTGATGACGTCACAATGGATTTTGGACAGTCAAGGTGAGTTAAGGTAGAGAGTCAATAGCTTCCATTTCCCGGTCGTTAGACAGGAGAAATGTGGCAAAAATTTGCGCTTGCAAAATAGAAGAAGAACAACAATAATCTTAATTTTTTTTGCATGACCATACAAAGACAAAACTATTGAGGCAAACGCACATCGATAAAAAGTATTCAGTACTTCATACCGTCCAGTCACGTTGTAGGGTGTAATAAAAGCCACACAGGAAAGTAGTTTTTCATATTCAAGCTCAAAATAGATAAATAGATAATTAATGATTGCCTTTGAATGATAGAAGGATAAAATTTCAAGCAACGGTTTTAGATGCATCTTCGTCATATCTTGAATTGTAATCCTTTTCATGAGAACTTGCTTTTTTAAATTGTCCTTAAATAAAACTACAGTGAGCATAAGGTTTAAACGACAGCTTATGGATTACATATCAGGCGATGGCGTCTTACTTTGACCTGTTTAATGCATAACAGAGAGAGGAGAAAAGAAGTCGAGAGAAATGAGAAAACAATAGCATGAAAAACACGGCGGAAGTCTAAGCTATTTGTGAGCATTTTCTTATCAACTCTTGAACTACTCCGTTGTGTTTTAAAACGTTCATGCTTGTGGATCGTTAATTTAACATTGTTTCAAGCAGGAACCTTTTCCTTTTTATTTCTTTCAGTGATGCTTCAACCCAGTAAGACGCGGAAATATTACACTTTGCTGAGCTGATGTTGTTTGAGTGTATTCGAAACTTTTAGTGACACTTGTGTTCATCGAGTGAATCGGAAGTTATGTCCTTCTTTCCAGCCACAATTTTTTTAAATTTTTTATTTCCAATTTGCACTTGTATCTGTTTGAATCTTGTATATATTAAATTAATTGAGGTAGAATTGATAATAAAAGAAAAAAGGATAGAAGAAGATATACAAGTAAATTGGAAGATTATTACGAGGGTTTACTAAAAACTAATGTGATCCTCGTATGATGTAAAGGACTGTGCAATAATTATCAGGAAGAAGGGGGGGGGGGGGGTCCAAAAATAGGCTTAACCAAACAAAAAAATAGAAGAGGCCCCCCCCCCGCGCGTGCCAATCTTCCCCTGAACCCACGCCCAATCGTCCCACAAATCTCCACCTCC